CCCATTTGACTGTTGATTCTTTTGTTGTTTAAATTTCTATGTTCTCGTTCTGTTTTTTTAGATAAAGTTTCTTTCGAAGACTTTGGCACACTCCTCTGTTCAGGGTACTTTTACTAGTGGATTCCCGGTGCAACCGGTTGACACCACAGCGGGGGAAGCGAGGTCACTCACTACCCCGTAGCTACTTGGGGCGAACGAAACGTGGACAGGAGGTTGCCGGCAGTATGGAGCCTCCCCTTCCCATTTTTTTTAGCCCGGCTTTGTATCCCGTGGAGACACGGTGAAAGGCAGCAAGAAGGAAGTTAAAGGACCGGATTTGTTGGATCCCCTTGAGAAAAGGGTTGAACCAACTCGGATAGAAGGGCAAGGAGTGGGCTCTGAGCTGTATCCCGTGCAGACACGGTGAAAGGCAGTGAAAAGGAAGTCGAACAGCCCGATTAGTTGGCTCTCCTTGGGAACGAGGTTGAACCAACCTGGATAGGAGGTCAGAGATTGAGCTTCCTAGCTGTATCCCGTGACCACACGGTGAAGGACAGTGGAAAGGGAGTCGGGAGCTGGGCTAGTTGGCACAGGTCAACTATTGATCAGCTGTTTCCGTAACCACTAGGCAGGCAGTTCGCAGAAAGAGGTACTGGGCCAAGAGGAAAGGAGGGACGTTATTTGTAACGTTGCCGGGTCAAGTGTTCAAGAACGAGGAGCATTATTTTTCTTGTCGAACTCGTTGTCTATTGTCGCGTACTCACTAATTTGGTGATCGATTCGCGCCGTGATAAGTACTGTGTCGACTCTGAGGCAGTCCTACCAGTTAACTAAACTATATCTGCCTTTCAGAAAAGATGAGCATGATTTCGTCGATAACTTCCGAGCAGCTGTTACGCACGCCGTCTCGCAATGGAGATCCCCAGGAACAAATGGATCTGGGACGAGTGCAGATCGGAGGCAGGGGTGAGTTTTGAGAAGGAGTTCGACAAATTCTCTAACAAGATAATGTCGCAGATAGCTACTATAGCTGTTAAGTGCGATAGTGAGTTAGCAAAGACGATGCGTACGGATGACCCTAAACGGGATTCAGTGGTGGCAGCCGTAAATGAACAAAGCGCGTTAGTGAAAGAGATAGTGCGCACCATTCTGAAAGAAATGCGCGATTTCTGTGGCCCAAGGATTGCTGCGCCCCCCAGCCCAGCGGGATAATAATCTTTTGAGAAGAGCAACATATCTCTGAGGCCGAGCAATGAAACAGTTTATTAAGGCGATTCGACGACATGAAAATCGATATGGAAAATCTGATCTAGCTGCGTTCCAAGCCATGCCCCCGTCATACACCCTATTAACCGCAGGGATCGTGTCGTGTCTGCCTACATACAGGGCTCCGCAACAGGACCCACGAAAGTTCAAGTAAGTGCGTAATCCTGCCCTCAAAATTCGTGTATGAAGTCATCAGCCGCCAATCAAGTCGCCAGTGTCCATCAGGGCCGCCAGATCGTTAGCGATTTTGCTGGCCCAAACAGGTTTCTTTGCCACTGTGTTATCACTCCAAAGTTCCACATGGCCCGTCAAGCCATTAACATTCTGAAAAGTGATCCCTGGTAGGGCCATTTAGACTTCTTGTGCAGAAATAGGATTACTGAGCGCATAACCTCTTACCCAAAGGGGTCACCTCCTCTCCCTGCCTAGGCTCACTCAAAAATCCACATATACGCTACGTAACACCTGTTTTACACGAAGAGTACTTACATATATCCTCCCTCCTCAAGACACAACGTCTAAATGTTTACGACAAGAGGTTTTCTGAGATGATTCTGAAAAAAATGAGCACCTCATTCGCCAGATTCTATAAAGTTGTGCTTTGATGAGAACTGCCAGCACGATTCTGTCACTCAAGTGTTTTTCGCGCTTTCTTTCTTGGTTCGTGGAAGAGACAAAACAATCTTTGCGAGAAGAAAGCGTTATGTCGTCAATAATGTAGCCCGGGTGTCGGCTGGGAGGATTCATAGCGGTCCGTGTTTTGTTTAGTTTATGTTTAGCTTGTCGTCCTTGTCCAACTCTGATACGTGCATCAACATTGCCTCGTTTATAAACAATGACCAAGGGTAAGAATTGGTCACAGGAAACATAGAACAAGCCCGATGTCCTGCGAAAGCGATCTGAGGGAATGTGAGAGTGTGTAGGGAAGGTGGTGTTGTCCGCAATAGACCCTTGTGCCAGGTTCTTGGCGGAAAGTTCATGGTAATGGCGCTAAGGCGCAATGTTGATTCAGGGAGATCTCCTTCTTGTCGGGTGACTCCGCCTCAAGATTCCACCTTAAGTCCACCTTCCAACGGAATAAGATGCTGCAGGACAAGTAGCATGAAATGGAAGCTCCATTGCCGTTCGTGTGGTGGTAGGGTTCATGAGGGTATAAGCTGACTAGGCATGAGCGTCCAG